TTCTAAGCATTCTTTAGTAGCTAAATCTCGACCATTCAAATGGTCAAAATCTCATCAATACACACATCACATGATTATTAAAAATATATGTAAATAATTTATTTAAAAATAGTAAAGAAATACATTTTGAAGTATCACATATAGGTAAAAATAGGTCAAGCTTGAGTTAGATTTTGAATAGACAGGCTTATCCTATTTATCTAAATAGAGCTAATTATAAATTCAGGCATGTTTTTTTTTTTAAATAGACCATATCAGAATTTTAACAGGACATGCTATATGTCTCTGTAGGCCAGGCCTATTTAATAAAAATGTTGATTATATTAAAATAAGTAAAAAGGGTTGTAGAAACAGATGATATATCTTGTTTAAATTTTGACATGATTTGTTCATGCTTAAATTTATAATTAGGTCTATTTTTATAAATAAACTAAGTATGTTTACTTAAAATCTGATTTAAACCTGACCCATTTGTATCGAACACAATATTTCAATATATATATATATATATATTACTCCTTAATAATAAATTATTCATATGTATTTTTAATAGTCATGTGATGTGTGTATTAATGAGATTTTGGCTACTGAGGAGATTCAGTTCCCTGATTTCTTTCTATTTTTGGTTAAAATTATATAAATATCTATAAAAATAAATTATCATTTGGTAGTTGTCACGTGTCAACTAAAAAGTTTTTTTGACCAACAATTAAATAGTTCAAGATCTAAAAAATTTATTCCTTTTTCTCTATTTCCCATTTATACCTAAAACTATGTTATTTTCCGACCAATTTGAATTCAAGGTGGGTGGGATCTGAAGACTAAAGAGACAACTCTTTCAAAAACGATTTTTTTTTTTTCCCTGCAAACTCAAGGACAAGTTTATATTCCTGCGGACCGGAAGTCCAGAACCTTAAACATTGTAATTAAACACCCTAGAACCTTCAAGCGAGGCCAATATTTGTTGATATTTGACAAATCATTATGGCCTATTTTGGCTTGTTAGAGGGTGTGCATGAAACAGTGTTTTATTTTTTTTAATGTTATCTTATATTTAAGGAATGAAATCCAATTCACAAGCCTTGAACTAAAAAGACAAAAAATAAGGAAAAATTATATATTTAACTTTACATATTTAATATGTTTGTTTTCAATTAAATTAAGATATATTATATTTTATTATTAATTTATTTTATAATAAATTCTCATTATTAATATTATTAACCCCTTAAAATTTAGTTGTCATGATTTAATTAAATATATAAGATGAGGTTTGTAAGTATTGTTAAATAATTCGACCATGTGATTCAATTAATTCGTCCCTAGAACACAGCACACTGCTGGTAACACCATAACAGAAACTTACTCTTTTAGTTTTATTTATAAGTTATTTCTAACATATTTCATCATCATTAAAAAAATTTTAAAATTTATTAACTCTATTAAAATTTAATAAATTTTTAATTTTATTTTTATTAAATATATACACTTTAATAATATATTTTCTCTCTCCAACATTTAAGAGTGAATAAAAAAATTTATAATAAAAATTTAATAATGTGATTTATAAATAAGATTATTTGTTTTTTCACTCATTACTCTCTAAATAGGATATTAATTACATGAATGAACACGCTCCTGCCAAACCAAGACTTCAGCGTGGTTGCATTAATTGGTGTCTCCCTCCAGTATCTTTCATTCAACTCAAACAAGTACTATTTAATATTGTGGCGTTAAAAGGAGGGTAAAAATATGAGGAAAAATAATTTTTACCTACTATGTAGATTTCAATGCCAATAATTAATCATTGTTGTTGGGAAAAAACTTTTTAAAAAGTAATTTTAATATTTCTAAAAGTGTATTTTAGTATATAAAAAGATCAAATGTCTTGTAATATAAGAACATGAGATTTTTTAAA